CCAGGTGGGTCTCGAACTCGCAGGCTCAGGCAATCCACTCACCTCAGCCTCCCAAAGGCATGGGATTATAGGCTGAGCCACCAAGCCCAGCTGCTCAGCTCATTTTTTAAAAATTACTGTTTATTGTAGAGACCAGGTCTCGCCAAGTTGCCTGGGCTGGTCTCAAACCCACGGGCTCAGGCAATCCACTCGCCTTGGTCTTCCACGGTGCTGGGATTACAGGCTGAGTCACCAAGTATTTTTTTTAATTTTTAATTTTAAAGATGTGGGGTACAATTCAGGGTTAGGTATACAAATGTTCATTATGCAGGTACCCTTGTTGTTGACAGCTATTAAAAAAAGATGCAACAAAATGGACAACAAAATCCACATATTACCGTACACAGCAGTGATGTGAGCAATGTGTAAATAAAGACTTAGCAAGATTCACTCCCTACATAACCAAGTACTAATTTTCCCACTGGAATAAGTGTAGAGATAATGCATTCTTAGCATAAATCTACAAATAGTATAGAGAAATTTTGTTTTAATTCTGCTTTATATTTTCTCAGCATTTCAGTCTACTCCCCACCAATTTAACTGCATAAGTACATCAAAATCAATATTAAAAACCCCAAATTTATTCATAACAGAATTAGCTATTTTCAGGCATGTTTCACAGTATAAGCACTAACACTATACTAAATGAATGTTTGGATTAGTTGGCCAGAAATAATGTTGACTTTCAACAATATTGAATATTAAAATAGCAGCACAGGCCAACAGATCATTCACTGAAGTTTCAAAGTACATATACAGCATTTATAGATTGACAAGTGATGGAGTTATAGTTCGTGAGCTCGCGAAAGACTATAGTAATAATAAACACTAACAGCCGGGCTCCCTGGCTCATCCTGTAATCCCGCGCCTTTGGGAGGCTGAGGTGAGTGGATTGCCTGAGCCCGCGGGTTCGAGACCCGCCTGGGCAGCGAAACCTCCTCTCTACAATAAATAAAAAAATCAGCCGGGTGTGGTAGCACATGCCTGTAATTCCGGCTACTCGCAAGGCTGAGGCGGAAGGATCACCGGAGCCCAGCAGGTCTAGGCTGCGGTGGCCGGGAGCGGCCACTGCACTCCAGTCTGGGCGACAGAGTGAGACTCCAACTCAAAAATAATAATAATAATAATAAACACTACCTCCAACTTACTGTTCAGGAGTATCTTGAAATTCTGTGATTTCTGGCAATTTTTTAAAAATATTAAGAGAATTGTATTATTTCAAACTTTGAGGTCCCTGATAGGTGGTTTAGTGGCTAGGATACAGCACTCTCTTTTTTTTTTTGAGTTGGAGTCTCACAGCCACTATAGCCTCGGTTCCATGGGCTCAGGTGAGATACTTCCACCTCAGTCTTCCAAGAAGCTGGAACTACAAGCGAATTCACCACACCCAACTAATTTTTTGATTTATTGTAGAGATAGGTCTCACCAAGTTGCCCAGTCTAGTCTCAAACTCCTAGGCTCAGGCAACCCTCTCGCTTCCGCCTTTCTTTTTATTTATTTATTTATTTTGGGGGGGTTGGAGTCTCACTCTGTCGCCCAGACTGGAGTGCAATGGCTGCTCCCGGCCACCGCAGTCTCTACCAGCTGGGCTCCGGCGATCCTTCCGCCTCAGCCTTCTGAGTAGCTGGAACTACAGGCGCGCACTACCACGTCCGGCTGACTTTTGATTTATTGTAGAGATGAGGTCTCGCCAAGTTGCCCAGGCGGGTCTCAAACCCGCAGGCTCAGGCAATCCACTCACCTCAGCCTCCCAAAGGCGCGGGATTACAGGCTGAGCCACAGAGCCCGGCTCGCCTCCACCTTTCAATGTTCTGTGATTACAGACGTGAGCCACTGTGCCGGATTCAGCACTTTCAAACGTTGTGCATAACATGTAACTTTTAAATATTTATTTATATTATTTTAGATTTGCATAAAGTCCCATAAAACATGACAGCCCTATACTCAACAGGCAGTCCTGGATTTGCATCATTCTGATTTGCATGAATTTCATTGTCTTTTTTTTTGGAGTCGTACTCTCACTCTGTTGCCCAGGCTGGAGGGCAATGGCATACTGCCAGTCACTGTAGCCTCGACCTGCGGGGCTCAGGTGATCCTTCCGCCTCAGTCTTCCAAGTAGCTGGAACTACAGGCACGCGCCACCATGCCCAGCTAATTTTTTTTTTTTAATTGTAGAGACAGGTCTTACGAAGTTGCCCAGGCTGGTCTCGAACCCTTGGGCCCTGGCAATCTTCTTACCTCGGCCCCCCAAAGTGCTGGGATTATAGGTGTGAGCCACTGCACCCAGCCTGCATGAGTTTCAATCACCATGGTTTAAATAGCAGCAGTCCCTCAACAACCAATTCAAATTTCAATTACTGTAGTATATTAACTGTGAGTAATCTAATAAAGCACAAACTTGGCTGCTAGCTCTTCAGTCTACATATTACATTATTGCACTGCACTTCATG